TTTACAATAAGTGCTAGTTATGCAATACATGACTTTGGCTGAGGTGCACGTGAAGTGGTCATGGTCAGTAATATTAATGGACCGTTTGGGTCCCGATATTTTCTCAGCGTTGTGAATGAAAGGACAAGTTTTGCATCGCGCACGATGCAATCCGTGGTTCATAGTACAAGTTGAGTCACGTTCCTCTCTCGTCACGCGATACACATCGATTGGTTGCGAGTCAAAGAGCCGTGACAAGGAAAGCTCTTATTCTAAAGCGCCATCTTTTTCTCGTCATGCATTCCGATCTCTTCGTTTTTGAATGTAAAGGGATCGGAAATAAACGAGATGAATTGTAACCTATTGGCAAATCAAAATTTATGAAAATCAAATTGTGTTTATTTTCTCAACACAATGTTGTGATTACATTATTTTCATCGAAAGCGAAAATATCATTCGACTGAGCTTTGACTTCCCCTTTTAATTAGAAAGACGGAGAGGCTTTCGAATGTTGACTTGGGGTAATTCCCAGTATTTCCAAATTTAACAACACTTCCGGCCCTGGGAACGAGGTTGGAATTTGTCTCATACTCCATAGCGATCAGGTTTCGCTTGCGGTGGCTTTCAAGTATCTGTTTATGCTGCAATTGTAGCTTGAAGCTGGTGTGGAAAGTAACGCCATTAGAAGGTTGGTGAATGCATGGAAATCTTGTGCTTTGCTTGGGAGATAACTGGAATGTAGAAGCTTAACAAATTTTACTGTTTTAAAAACGCTCAAGTATTAGTGATGATGCGTGGCAAGGCCCTGTAAAAGTTTGAAATATCTTACAAATTGACCTTGGAAATCGAAATTTCACCGATCAAATTTGTCAAACCTGTACTTAAACTTTCTCCTTCAGTCATCCAAAAGAATATCCAAGGCGGGATCTTTTCACAGAAATCTGATAACTGTACCGAAATAAGAATTTTGGGGTGAGTTTTTCAATGACAATATAGTATTCGGACCTTTCGGAAAATAGCCGCAGGGGTTTTCACTTTCCACTTGCAACAAAGCGATTTTGTTTAAATTATTAAAATTCAAAATTCGCTTTATGAGCACTGTCTATCACGAGACTCCTCGGTTTTGTAATTAATACAGTTTCGCATTGTACGGTGTCCGAGTTAGGCCCTTATTTGGCCCGTAAAGATAAAATGGTAGTATAATTTTTGGCATTTTTCCCGCTTTTTATAAAAGTAGCACTCTTGACATGATCAGATACTTTTTAGTTTTTTCCATCTCAGAATAAGATGAGTACTGCGTCGGCCACTGTTGAGAGGCCGAGAGGACTGGGTAAACCGGAAGTAAAGATTGCGTCGGTCCCAGTTCCCCCTTTTCGAGGCAACCAAATGTCAATCGTTAGTTATTATCAGAACAAGGGTGTAACTCAAGATAAAGAAGGTATAATGCTTTATTAAACAATGAATATATAATTTGGATTGCTTTGTGTTTCTTTTTTGAAAAGCATCCTCTAAGAAAAATAGACTAATTTTCAAAAGCGAGCATAATTTGGAAAAAAATCGAGCAATGCTAGTAACACAATATGCGACTTATACTAGCTTACTCTGTAAGAACCTACTCGAGAAGTCTTTGACTCATATTTTTTTTCTTCAGAAAATGGTTGAATCTATGGGTGCCGGGTCAAAAATGTTTTGCTGCAAACTTATCAAACGAGTTACAGACCGCCGACCCCAAATCACGGAAGTGGATCCTGAAGCTAAATTTTGGCAGCAGAGGGGACAGTGCAGCCGATTTGCCCTGGTGAACCCTTTATTTATAGCCTTGATGTTCCTTGTCGATGTCGTTATGGACTGTAAAATGGCTGCAACGCACTACGAAGGGGGAGACCACAAATGGGCGGCATACACGCTAGGCGTAATAATATTCTCGCAGGTTTTTACTGAGATCTTGTCAGCCATATTTTACCATGACGATCTAACGAATGAAGGAAAAACTTCGTGGCTGAAACATTTCAAATTGCGAGTGAAGCCTTGGTTGTGCGCTATCCATTTAATTCTTTGCGGTCGTTTTCTGCGGTAAGGTTATATCAAGAGTAAAAATCAAACGAGATTTTCAATTTCCTGGCTTAAATTCTTTTGAGCCACATGTAAATGGTTGTTCGGGGCACTGTAAAGATCCCGTGCCCGCGTAAGGATGCAGTTATTCGAGATCGGATCCTTTCGTCAAAAGTTGGTAGTCAGTGTTGCTTCATTCGCTCATTTCCCAGCTAAAATTCTGAGCATTACATGATTTTGTCACTATTTTTCTTGGTTGCTCGTGGTTTGAATGACAATCTTAGAGCTTGTAAGCTCAGTGTGCAACTAAATCATTGTCAGAAGTTCCCTCGCTTACGGACGCCCTTAGAATTGGTTAAAGTACTTTTTTTTCTTTTAGGTGCTTTCAGATATTCAAAACTGTACGTTTGATAAGAAGAATCGATGAGCCACATGAAGACAATTGTCAGTTGTATCGGCTGTATATATCCCAACTGCAAGACTCGAGTACGTTGAGTGTCGTGGAGGCGTTTACCGAAGAAGCACCTCAGGTAGGCTATTC